TAGCAGACTTACAACGTTGGTTATAACTAGGTTAGGTATACTTATAACCTAGGTTATAAGTCCACTTAGAACCACCGCCGGCCAAGTACCAAGAAGATGCCCAAGCCATCTGAGCCTGCTCCGAAGAGGAAACTCCAGAAGCTCGTTCGGTATGACGACTCACATGAGCGTGATGTGCCGTTGCAGCTGCTACCCCGCGCTCAGGCCTATATCGGTCCTGAACACATGCTGAAAGTGCCGGAGCGGCAGGAGCAGAGAGGGGGTCCAGGAGCAGAGGCGGCGGCCAACGACGGCTCCAAGGACTGGACTGCTCTCATCCGTCACCTGAAGGACGAGGTTGCCAACCTTCAGGAGTTTGAGGTGTTGTTGCGCATCCGCAACAACGACGACCGCAGGTTCAAGCTGGAAAGGTATGCCGTGGGAATCCACAGCGGTGAAGGCAGTCCAAGGACATAAGGACTGGGTCATCGAACGCATTGGGAACCGCGCTATCTGCCAGGAGATCTACAGCCTGGATGACGACTTCGACATCCAGAAGCTGGATCGCGGCGACCGCCCGAGGTTCAATTCCGATCCGGAAACCTCGCATATGTTTACGACCTTCCCACGTATCGTCTATCACTCAACCCACTTCAGGGGTTGCAGTGACATCATCAAGAACGGGTTGGTCGTGGGTGGATTCCCTTGCAAGACCGGGCGCGGTCATAACTACTTCACTGTGACGCCGCCGTGGACTGCCAACATGAGGAAGCTCGCGGGAACGCGAGCCGGGCAGCCGATTTACTTAGCCTTCGACACGGAACTTATGATCCAAGAAGGCGTTCGACTGTTTCGAACTGATGCTGCGATCTTGTCACTAGACTGGATCAGCAACAAGCATCTCATGTTCGCATACACTGCTCGCGATGCCTCCTTTGTGTGGACGAACCCTGCGTACCCCAAGTTCAGGAACGACTATACCATGCATCGATCAAGGAGTACCCGGACCCCAACCATCCAGCGGCGTCTGCACAGTATCAATTGTCGAGATTGGGCATGATGAAGAACTTCATGCTGGTTGACAACTGGAACGATGCGAAGGAGAAGATCATCAAAGGATCTGTCAACATTGTGCCATTGTGCGGCCGCCAAGGGAGCTTGAGGGTGTGATTGATGAGCTCGCTCAAACTGACGCTCGCTGGAAGGGGAGCAGGGTGAAGAAGTTGAATCCTGCGAGTTGAAAGGATACATGCTTGCACCATGCGCCATCGTGCAGAACTCTGACATTGCGGGATTGCGAAGCGCCCATCACAATCGCAATCGGCCATGGGCCCGAGCGGACAACTACGACCTCGAGATGTGGCAGTCAATGTCATTCTACGAATTCCGGTTGAGAAATGCAAGACGCCCCATATATGAGGCACGGAACATTGGCAGGGGGCATTCGCTGTGATTATTGCAAAGCCCACCTGACGGTGTGGCCGGATGCCCGCGTCGCAACTGAAGCTGCACGAGCCCAAGCAGAAGCAGACTTGCAGCAGACCACCTGCGTCATTGAAGATCTGATCAAGCGGATCCCCAGAAAGGCCCGCAAACCAAATCAGCCGAGGCGGCCGGGGATACCCAGCGCCGAGGCGCAAGATCAGCTTTTGGCGTACTGCGCGACAATGCCAAGGCCCATATTCGCCAGGCAAAGAAGCGCGGTGCTGCCACCCTTCGAGAGCGCCTCGAGACGGACCCTTTCTATGCCGTGAATTGTGCTCGGTCAAATTTGACACCAGATGCGCTGGATTTCCTGCAGCGGCTTGGTCGCAGCATGCGGGTCGATCTGCCGCGCAGTGGAAAGGCAAGAAGGGCAAGGGTGGTGGCAAAGATGAGAAAGGTGGTGATGATCAAGAAGAGGCTGAGGCCCGTGCCACTCGCCTGTGCTTCCTTTTGAAGCTCGATCTGAACTTGGCGGAGGAAGCATTCGTAGCACACAAATGCCGATTCTTGACATTGGCGCAATTCGCTACTTACTTGGGTGTGCCTTTTGAGTTGCGGCACTTGCAACTATCTTATTTGGAAGTTATAGAACTTAAGAAAACAACCAAAATAACTTCAAAGTAAGTTCGAAATAACTTCCAATAACTTCAGTTTTTGAAAATCCAAGAAACCAGATGGACTATTTTTCAATATTTTTCAAAATCATTGCCGCTCGCTGAGACCAACCTGCTCAGTGCAAAGCGGTGAACACCGCACTTTCATGCAACAACCTGGTGTAAACCCAGCGGTGAACACCGCACTTTCATGTTACAACATGATGTAAACCAGCGGTGAACACCGGACTTTCACGTAACAACACGACGATGTAAACCAGCGGTGAGCACCGCATTTTCACGCAACAACCTGAATAAAACAAGCGGTGAGAACAGAACCCCGTAGGCATCTTGTTTCTGTCACGCGCTATCGGAAAAGGTAGATTTGGCCATCGTCTGCGCATGCGAAAGAGACAGTGACCATGTGCATTTAATTACAACCTCGACAGGAATCAAGACTGCGCGCTCCCAATTGCCCCACAAAATTTGCGCCTCCCTTTGTTAGTCCGTCCCTGCTTGAGTCCCTGAAAAAGAGCTCAATGGAAAACTGAAAAAATAACACCTGGAAACTTTGAAGACAGGGGGAGGGTGGGTGGGGGGGGTGTGGTATACGGGTCGTATACGGACGGTAGTGTAGACGGGGGCCATGGTTGTATACGGATGGTATACGGCTGGTATACGGACGGTATACGGTGGTATACGGGTGGGATACTGGCATGGTATACGGATGGTATACGGCTGGAATACGGACGGTATACGGTGGTATACGGCTGGGATCCTGGCATGGTATACGGATGGTATACGGACGGTATACGGTGGTATACGGGTGGCTTCCTGTAATTTGCTGATTTTTGCGGTCAAAAAGGCGCGAGTTACGCGGGGACCTGCATCACCAGGAGCTTGGGTGTAACTTGAAAAAAAGTGAATTTGACATTTCACAATTTTGCAAGTTTGATTTGCATGTCCTTTCTAAGGGCATCGGCAACCTTGCAGAACTACTTTATATTCTCCGTCTTGAAAACGCAGAGCCAGGCCACCCCTAAATTTGAAGAGTGAGAAATACAATGTTTAAAAGTGAGAGTTACATTTACCGTGTGCTTCACTGGCTTGGCTGCTATAGGTCATGTCTTTAAGCTTCAGTCGGTGCTCTGAAGAAACAAGCCCAGGCAGGCTGTTTATTCACTAGTACACACTCTTTTTTAGTGATGTGGTGAAATGAAATCTGATGCGGAAACTTGAAATGTGAACATTTCCGTTCATCCTGAAACGGTGAAAACCGCAATGAAAATGGCAAGCCAAAAAAGTTATGAACTGAGGAGGTTGGTTCAGCGGCGCAACTTTTGCTTCTCAACCAAACAGAAAGCCAACAAGTTTTTTGTGAAACAATAACTTCAAAATAAGTTCAAAATAACTTCCATTAAGTTAGGGGAAATATATTGGAACAAATTCCTAAGTAACTTGTAACTTTCTGCAGAAGTCTTCAGAAGTTACACTACTTCTAGTCTAGTTAGACAGGTTCTGGGCAACATATTGAATTTGCAAGTAAATTACAAATCACTTTTAAGTCCTCCTACTCCAAAGCACACCCAAGTATGTCGATTTTGCAATCTTGCGGAAGAACTTGCCTCCTCCGGTCGTTGTCGGCCGGAACGAAAGGCCGGAACGAAAAGACTTGCCAGCCGGAAGGCTCGGCCGAGAACATCCTCAAAGACCTTGTGTCGTTTGCCAGGCTGAATTGGCCTGATGCAGCAAACGAATACGGGCGCAGCTTAACTGTGGTGGAGGGCACTCACAAGAAGGTCAGTGCTTTTTGTCGGAAGTCGACGGCAAATCAGAACCTGCGTTCTGGATTCTTTCCGGTCGACCAAGGAGGGCCGCACTACAAGATTGACTGCCCGACGTACCATGAGCAGCGCCTGCAACAGCGCACTCAGAACCGAAAGGGTAAGGGCAGCGGCAAAGGCAATCGACCTCGCCCATGGGCGCCCGCACCGCATCAGTGGCGGGTTGTCCAGAAACCCAGTGAGGGGGAAGCTCGTCCGATGCCGTCATTGGCCCACCTGAGAGGACGATTGCCCAAGACATCGCCATGAAGGGTATGGCCAAGGCCCAGGGCAAGGGTAAGGGCGAGCAGCAGCAAAAGGGAAAGGGCAAATGGGAGCCAAGGCCAAGGCAAGAACGAGCCATCCAAGGGCAAGGACAAGGGCAAATCCAAGGCAATGCCCGAGCAAGTCTACCATGGTGATCGCGAATGGGCCGGCTCTTGGATATATTCGTGGATGTGGACCACTTCGAAGGGATGGTACTGGCAATGGGACCCTTAGATTCCTCAATTTGGCTGACGTGTGTGACTTCCATGCTAACGGGAACGTTAGCCGGAGTGCTTTCTTTCCTATGTTGGTATGCGGAGTAGCTGGAGTTCATTGTTCACGGCGCTAACGGGAACGTTAGCCGTCTTCATCCTCTTTGGCTAATTGTTTCAATAGCGTTGCGAACCGGAAGGTTTGCCGTGTCCATTTTGGCTGGCGCTCCTAGTGCATTCACTTTGTCAATACTAATTCACGGCAAGTGGCGCCTTTGGCACCAAGTTTGGAGTGGTAATGCTCCCGTTGTGCTAGGTGGAAACCTAAGCCGTTCATCTTGTCTTTTGCATCAGTTCGCTTCGAGCATAAAAAGAGCCGAACCTGAGCCGTACCTTTCTCCACTTTCGCACGCTTTCGTAGGACAGTTGTATTGCGCATAGTGTTGCACCCGTGACCGGGCCGCGCCGCGGGGGGTATTTTTCACCGCTGTTGTACATACACATTTTCCTACCCGTGCATATTTGGCTCATGCAAAAAAGTGCCTGCTCTAGGCTGTTACCTGTTTGAAATAGTTTTCTTTGATCCTTCGCGGACTGATGTATATGAATTGGTAGAACCACAAACTCTGACGACCCAACAGGATCAAATGCTCTCGGCCAGCTGGGCTTTATTCCGGGACCGTGGCCTGTCACAGACACCCCTGGAGCTGCCGATGACCAAGGCTGCTGTGAAGGCCATGGATGTGATCGGCAACGCGGTGAAGCAAAGAAAAGACTTGCCAATGACCGAGAACACGAGAACACATGGGGCTAATCAGGACTGCATCACTCCAGGTGAACATCTCGAAACAAAATAAGAACCCAATTTGACGCGGGAACGTGTTCATCAAAGGGGCGTGTGGGGTGTGGAACGTTGAGGGACGCCAAGGCGAATTTCTGGATGTGCATTCGTTTGTGCTGGTCGGCGCAAGCAAGCGTGGCAACCTGTGCTGGCACACAGCCACTGTGGACGCTAGAGCCCCTTGAGGAAACTGCGAGAGAGAGAGGGACGGAATTAGTCAGTAATACTGTACAAGCGGCATCAAGTCCAACTTAATTCCCGTACTGGAAAATCAAGGGCTTCAGATCCATGCAGTGTTTGCAAGCTGCTGCAAAACATGAAGAAGCACAGTGCGAGTCACGAAAGGTAGCTTCAGCTACCTGAGTTCAATTAGCTTTAGCTACAGGGCAGGATCCTCCCACGCCATGACTTTGGGCTCGTTAAAGGTGATCCTGTATGTAAGGGCCTCCCTCCTCACCCCCCTAGTGGATCAACTCCACCCTGCGATTGGTGAATTTTCTTTCAATTGTACTGGTACCGTGGCTTCGTTTGATTGGATTCGTATCGGGCTTCTCCTCCCTCCTCGTGCTGCTGCTGCTGCTTTGGTGTGATTGGATTCGTATGGAGCTTCGCCTCCGTGCCCGTTATTTTGCTTCTTTTCTATTGGTGCTGCAGCTTTGCGGTGATTGGGTTCGTATTGAACTTCTCAGCTGTTGCTGCTACTGCTGCGCTGCTGTTACTGTTGCTCTGCTGCAGCTGCTGCTGCTACTCTTTAAATCCCACGGATCTCTCTCTCTCTCTCTCTCTTCTTTCTTTCTTTCTTTCTTTCTGTCTGTCTGTCTGTCTGTCTGTCTGTCTGTCTGTCTTTCCTTCTTTCTTTCTTTCTTTCTGTCTTTCTTTCTCTCTCTCTCTCTCTTCTCTCTCTTCTCTCACCTCTTGGAAAGTTGAGCTTGTCCACCCCCCTCCCACCCAAGTCTTTTGCCCGCACCACGTGCTTCATGCAACCTCATCAGAGAAGGTTGAGGCATGCGTCCGGTTCCGGAGATTGTGAGATTGTATGAAATTGTGAATTTTGATCTTGGCAAAGTTAGAAGCCGGGACTTGATAGGTACAACGGTAGCGTGAAGCTTTGAGGCTTGCTGATGCAAAATTCACTTGAGGTCCGCGGCATTGTGCCCATCGCACGAGCAATCAATCTGGGTGCAGTTTGGGCGCGCACGCAGAGACAACTGGGAGGCTTCCCCATGGTTACTCAGGACTACGTGGAGAAGCACTTGCTCCTAGCCTTAACCGATCCAGTCAAAACCAGTCAGTCATTTTGCACCAACATCCACCCAATCGCGACATGTCGCAACCTTCTTCCATGCCTTGTGAGGCTGGCTGGCTATTTGGAGACACCCTCTGGCGAGCCGCTTTTGCACATTGAAGAGCCCTGGATGCAAACAGGTTCGGTTATGACTCATGACTTTCTGCTGCAGGTTCCTCTGCTTATCGCTCATCATCGTTCCTGGGTGATGGCATCCTCCGGTCAGCCTAGGATCCCTTTTTCTACCTGGAGCGCACCGCTGGTCTGCCAAAGTTTATCATCAACGCAGCCAGCGACGACTTCTTCATCCCTGACAATACCCGCGAGTGGTGGGACGCAGTGCCCGAGCCAAAGTGGAAACTTGGTTGGAAGTTCAAAGAGTGTTCCATCTGAATGTAGTTGAGGAATGAAGAAGGACCACTTTCACGTGTGACATGGTTTTCATAGCAAGGTCTTAGGAATGGAGATTCCGGGTGTCTCGTACTCTGATGATTTGTTCCATTGGATTTCCGCTCAAAAGGTGTGGGTGGGCGGGTCGACTTTGTTGCGGCGGCCGTGAAGGCCAAAGAGCCACGGCAGGTAGATCCGTGGATTTTGGAGAGCAGGAGGAGGTCCAGAGCATTGATACGTTGCCT